TGATCATCCAGGAGGGTGATTGTTGCATCAGAGATGAAGATGAATAATAGATAGAGGACAAGCAGAAACGACGATGAAGATGAATCAAAACTCCAGAAGTTAGGAAATGAGATGTCTGGAAGAGAAGAGGGAGGTTAAGGAGGATGGAACTTAAAGAAGATGAGGATGATGAAGATGAGTGATGATGAAGAGGTCATGGGTGGATATGACTCTGTGATCAGAAGGAAGTTGGCAAGAGAGGAAAGAAGAAGGATACTAGAGATTTGATCTCTGATGGAAGTTGAAGGAAGAAGGATACACGAGATTTGATCTCGGATGAAAGCAAAGATGAAGAAAGCGATGAAGATTTGGAGATTAAGGGTGCTTTATGTTCAAGAGGATTTTATCCTACAATGACTAGCAAAGAAGAAATAGATATATAGACCGATGTTTATCATGCCTGGATAAAGCAAATAGTTTAGAAGAAGTAACACAGCTGAAGATACAGAAGAGGAGAAACTGCTGAGAGGATCCCAAGAATTGGAGAAGAAGAAAGAACAGGACGAAGAAACTCTGAGAACTCAATCATACAACGGGTGGAGAAGAGAAGCTTTGGTTATGAAGAATCAGAATGAACCAAATCAACAATCACTGCTACAGCTTCAACTGAACAATATTAAATGCAATTGTACCAGCCAAGGGGGGGTACCAGATGTTCCATATCCACAGCCAGTTTCTGGACAGACACAGAATTGGAGAGGAAGAGGACGAGAAGAAATAGAAGGAGGAGGAAGATTTCAGCTACACTTTCAGCAACTTTCAGAAGACTGTTATAATTGTGGACAGATTGGGTACTTTACCTGTGATGAAAATGCGTCAGGAGGAAACAACAGAGGAAGATAAAGGAGCAAGTGAAGATCACCTGTTAGTGCCTAGAAGATCCGGAAGGGGGGTATCAGCTGAGAGCATCGATTAGAGAAGAAGAGAAAATAGCTAACAATTGAAGTAAAAACAACCGACCATTAGAAGTGATGGTGAATAGTGGAAAAACTTATCTGGGTTCAGCCTAAAGAGGTTAAACATATCACTATGTAAAATTAACTAATTAGGATAGGGATTTGAGGTAGTAAAACAGTTAATTACTCTTAAGATACTAATATTAGAAGATACTGTTATTGCAGTATTGGAAAGAGATGCATTGTTTATTCTGGGTTACATTCTTACACTAAGGGATTTCAGGCTAGGCTAAAAGGTGTTTAGTTTGCCAAGTCTGTGTGTAAAGAAGTCAAAAACAGGTGGGGACTTTTCCAATCACATAGTCTACATTTGGTGGTAAAGGGATTTTGTGAATAAATCAGTGGAAAAAGTTTAAAGGTTAGGAGGAAAAGATTAGATTAAAATAAGTTAGGAGAACTAGGTTGAAGGAACTCTAAGACAGTAAGCTAAGTTTCAAAGTTAGTAGTAAGAGAGAGAACAATGGTGAATGACACTTTAGAGTAGGAAGATCAAGGTAATTATAGGTGTATTTTTTATAATCAAAAGTTTGAAAGTCAGGGATTAGAGAAAGGACTGAGATTTGGGGAAAAAGTGACACTAGTGGTGATAGATGGAAGTACAAGCAAAGACAACTTTTCTTTGGGGAAAACTAGAAGTAACTAAGGACATTAACACTTCAGTCTATTATAACAACAGTGAGAAGCAAGTTAACTCTTTCAACATTGATAGTTATTAAAGCCATAAATATATCGCATTTGATTATAAGAGAACCAATAGCTCCAGCACCCATTTTAGGGGAACGCTGTTTTTAGGGTTAGGATGGGGACGTTTCTCCCACATGGAGAGATAATTATGGAGAAGAAGTATACTTATCTAGTGCAAGCATTAGAATTTGTTCTGGTTAAGAATTATTGGTTAAAAGGCTATGTAATTCATAAAGTAACGCTTATGGTGGAAGATTTGAAATCTGTTGAAGTTCCACAGTCATTGAGGGAGTTCAGGAGGAGTAGGTTACAGTAGCCACTCCAACAGTAGATAATACACAGAGGATAACGGGAACTTTCGCACTAGAAGTAATTAAGGTTAATACACCAACTACTTTAATGGTAACTTTGGAAGGGATTAATGATACGATGGCAATAGCAAACGTAGGAAGTATGACACTGACAACAACTTTTCTGAAATTAAAGGGGGGTAGCAAGACGAATAGGGTTAAAATAGGAGAACAGATAGTAGTAGAGAGAATAGTGATACTATCATGGAGGACAGAATGAGGTCTTTGATTTTAATGACAGACAAGGAGAGGTATCTGATCAGTACCGCTCGTTAGGGGAGAGAGAAACTAAAGGGAGTGGTTTGATTCTTCTGTTGTGAAAGTTAGAGATAGATGGGCAGGTTCCAGCAGCTCATTCTGTAAGATCAGTGAGGAATCTTGAGGGTCCATGTCTGGTGAGAATTCCAGCAACAAACATGTTAGAGACGGTCGTTCGACCTCTATCAAGTATGTGTCAATCTTATGCGTTGTCATGACTGTTGTATCAGCAACAGTCAGTAACAGATAAAATAATGTCGTTGTCAAAACATTTGTTTAAGTCTAGGGTTAGGTGGTATTGGGTTAAGTGAATTAACTTGGGTGCATTTGTTAGATGGAAAGTAAAATCAGGTAACAGCGTAACTGAAGCATTTGAGGTGTAACCATTGAGGGCTAAAAGTTGTTTGGTTCTAATAAAACATATGAGGTAAGGGGTATGTTTATGGGAATATCAGATTGTGATGATTATATGATGACTTTGGATAAGCATGAACATAAGGTTAGAGATGACAAATATAATGTAATTTTTATGTACCAGTTAGTAGGAACAGCAGGACTTTGATGGTTGAAAGATTAGCTTTTGCCTGACAATGTGACTATGGGGAATTTTAGAGATATTTGGAGGGTTTGTGGTGATAAAGCATATATATTCTTACACTATGGATAGACAGGATGTTGTTACATGTCAACGTTGAAGCTTCCATATGAGGTTTTTACCATTATAAGAGGGATAGCACCAGACACAGCTAAATCTAGGGTTAAAAGGGTGACATGGCTACATGTCATAGTCTTCAAGCCTATCATTGAAGGATAAATCTAAGGGAGAAGGGGGGACTTTTTCCATGGTATGGTGTAACATTTGGAAAGATCCTATTGATAATATTAGGTATACTTTGAGTCCAGATAGTTCGATAATGTCACGAGTGTTATATATGCATTTAAGAATATAAGGGATGTGTTTGGGAGATCTGAGAAGATTTGGTTGCAAGATCAGGTAGGCCAGTAGGGGCAGTGATGGGTTACATTTAATGGCAACTTTGATAACACTGTGTGATGTTTGTAATTTGTTACTGATCTTTGAGAAAGCTATGATATTGAGATAGGTTGGAGAGTGAGGCCTGGAGACAACACTCAGATGCCGGTGTTGACTGTTCCTGATCTGGATAAAGATGGACAAGTGGAACTGATGGATAAATATCATTTTTGATTATTTGATCATTTTTCAAAAATTTTTTCAATATTAGGGTGATGTTGGTATGATTTATGAATCAAAGGGGGGAATGGGTTTATGTGATTCATGCATCATTTATATATCATTTCTATATTCTTAGGTGATATTGATGTTCAATTTGAAAGTGTTTGTTTTGCAAAAGATACTGTTTGGTTTTTTCTTTTCTTCCAGAAGCATTTGGGGGAACATGTGGAGATTGAAATACTCAAAACAGGGACAATATGAAGGGACAATATGACTGGAGGAGATGAAACAAGGAGGGTGTGGCCGATTCCATCATCAACAGTCCATTGGAAGAGGAGACTACGGGGAGATGAAGTGTAGTGGACTACATTCCAGTGTCTGCAATGAAATATAGACATGTGTAATACATAATTGTGTCATATTCGTAGGTATTAATTTTTTGTAGAATGATGTTTGATGTTATTGAATACATGTGAGGATCTTAGATGTTTTTGTTTATTTCGGTGATGTTTAGGGACAGGAAATTTAGGCAGGGAGAGGTTCACTGTACGGTCCAATGGGTTGACCAGCCTTACAAGTGGATGTTTTTGGATAGGATTTTGTTTGCAGGGGCTTACATGTGTATTTAATTGCATCATACTTTCAAATGCATTTACATGGGTTATGAGTTTATCTGGAGTACCGAAGGTGGTTGCCTGGGGCAGAGGGACCGTGAGAGAATTTTACTGTCTTGATTGATGGATGGAAGGTTGCCGGACAGTTTTTTCGCTCTTACACTCCATAGAGATTTGTTCATATTTCATAGTAATGTATTTACACTTCATAAAGATAGTAATGTATTCACACTTCATAAACAGTTATTCATATTTCATAGAAAGGTATTTACACTCTAGAGGAGAATGTTTTTGGTTTAATGTTAAACCTACTCAATAAGATAAATTGTTACTAGTCATAATCCTATTCTGTTTGTTTTCGAGACGTTTAGTTCGTCTCGAAGGGGGGAATATCGTATATGAAGATTATGTCTTTGTTAAATGTTTTTCATGAAGAAATGGAATGTTGTTTATGTTAGTATATGTTTTAGTGTAACGTCACATACCACAGACCGGAAGTGTGTTGTAGACAGGGGAGACTGGGGATTGGCCAGAAGAGGGAGCATCATTGTTATAAATAGGGGGGAAAACGAAGAAGAAAGTCAGAACGAGCAGCCATTCTGAGGCGTCACTCTCCGGGTGTCATGTCACCTGTAACTTATGCTGTAACCTCGTGATTTTAATAAAAGCCTCTAACACGATGCAGCATAAACGGACTCTTTGTTGACAGCAATAACTGGCCACCACTCATCCGATACGACACTGGCCCTGGATGTTGATCTTGGGTCAGTTTTAGATTGTCCCAACGAATAGTTAAGGTTAGGATTAGGGGGAGGAGAAGCTGGTCCTAGATCTGTACTTATAGGGGAAACTTCAGCCCAGAGCATAGAAGTAGAAATAGAGTGCAGTCTCCTCACTCGAGCTTCTAGGCCAGCCTGGCCATCACTCTGGCTTTCTGCTTCTTCAGCTTATTCTTGAGGAAGAGGAGGTCGATGTAGACTATGTCGTCCAAGACCATGGAGGCACACAGTAGACCGCCGTGCAACGCTCCTGCTATCCCACAGCTGAACACATCCTGCCCTGGAAAAGGTACATCCACACACACCATATAAGATGTGGCAAAGATGGCCTTAAGACATGCAAGCTCCCTCACATACTAAAACATTACAATCAGACAACAGTTTATAACTGTGAATAGTCTTTACAACATACTAAAACATTACAATCAGACAAGAGTTTGTAACTGTGAATAGTCTTTACAACATACTAAAACATTACAATCAGACAAGAGTTTGTAACTGTGAATAGTCTTTACAACGTGACTATTTAACTCGATAGACTTTACAACATGTGACTATTTAACCCAATAGTCTTTACAGCACGGGACTATTTTACTCAATAGTCTTTACAGCATGTGACTATATAACTATAGACTTTACAACATGTGACTATATAACTATAGACTTTACAACATGTGACTATATAACTTTATAGACTTTACAACATGTGACTATATAACTCAATAGACTTTACGGCTAATGCACATTTCATCTCACTTTATAGATTATATCATCCTTAGGAGAAGCATTAGAGGAGAAGCTCCAGGAGTGTAACCTGAGATTAAAAGCTTTTTGACAGGGGTGGAGCAGCGGTTCCTGGCACTGTCCTCAGCATGGAAGAGGTCCAGGTTGTGCTCAGTAGAGTACATGGCCCCGCGCTGGGCTCCCAAGTAGTGCATGTTAGTTAGGGGGGGGTCACAACGTCCTGGAACACTAACTGGAGAACAGAGCATAGAGACAGTTTCAATAGTTAATTGACTGCTAATTGATTCATTGAATTAACATGGATTCATCTCTAAACCTCTACAAACTCCCAAACACAGAGCGAGTGAGAGAGAGCGAGAGCGAGAGATTCAATATACACTATGTTAGTTTGTTCATAACTTTTCTCTCAGCTTGGGGAAAAGGGTGCATGCCCAGTCAAAGAATGACATTTTGTAGTCATCTCCCCATTCATCTCCCCATTTCCTTACTGAGGTAGTATCCTTCCATTCCTCAAACAACTCATATTTCACCATGGTCAAAATCATCATGCATGATTTCTCTGGAATGTAACATGGTATATACAGTACATCAGACAAAGAAGTACACACCATTTGACTACATTATCTTTGATATTCAGTGGTACAGTATCCTACCTGGGTGTCTCATTTTGGCTATAGGATCTTTGGCAGAGGGGAAGGTGATGAACATCATGGGGATGTTATCAGGTTCATCCTCTTTACTCATGGCAAAGAACCCTTCCATCCTACACAAAACAACAAGGCTGTAAACATCTGAAGAATGCTGGAGTGATGATGCATCAATAAACTAGTCTCCATAAAAAACGGTCATATATAACTGTAGGCTATATATGGATGCCATAGTAACTGCTTGTATTCATTGTTTATGCAGCAGCGCCACCTTGTGAGTACAGAGAGCGATATCATCTCATTTCAATGTTGAAAGAGCACTCGGTGCCTTGTACTTAGGAGCCATCCATATTACTATGAAGAAGAAGCTGGTGGCGACCATACCCAGCTCCTCTTGGGTTCCATGACAGCCAGAGATAATGATCCTCTGCCGTGTTTCATCATGTCAGACGTTTCTGGATGTCTGTTAGGAAGAAAGTGTTTTACCATCAACCAATAGCCAGTGGTGTAAAGTACTTAAGTAACAATACTTTAAAGTACTACTTAAGTAGTTTTTTGGGGTATCTGTACTTTACTATTTATATTTTTGACAACTTTTACTTTTACTTCACTACATTCCTGAGGAAAATAATGTACTTTTGAATTCCTACATTTTCCCTGACACCCAAAAGTGCTCGTTACATTTTGAATGCTTAGCAGGACAGGAAAATGGTCCAATTCACGCACTTATCAAGAGAACATCCCTGTTCATCCCTACTGCCTCTGATCTAGTGGACTTTCTAAACACATATGCTTCACTTGTAAATGATGTCTGAGTGTTGGAGTGTGCCACTAGCTATTTGTAAATTTAAAAAACAAGAAAATGGTGCTGTCTGGTTTGCTTAATATAAGGAATTTGAACTTATTTATACTTTTACTTTTGATGTACTTTTACTTTTGATACTTAAGTATATTTTTGCAATTACATTTAGTTTTGATACTTAAGTAGATTTAAAACCAAATACTTTTAGACTTTTACTCATGTAGTATTTTACTGGGTGACTTTCACTTTTACTTGAGTCATTTTCTATTAAGGTATCTTTACTTTTATTCAAGTATGATAATTGTGTACTTTTCCCTCAACTGCCCATAGCAAGACTTGACAATAGCAAGACAGAACACCATAAGGCAACACAGATCGATTGATCGATCAGTCAGTTGATTGATTGAGATCCTACATGTTGTTAGTTTGTCAGTGTGACTCACCTGGCTTGGTCTGGATCTGAGGGGGCAGTAGTTTCTGGAAGGTGGTGAACAGACCGCAGTTGGAGATGATCACAGGAGCATGTACCTCCACCTCCTCCTGTCCCTTCCTCACCTTCACACCTGGCAATGGAAACAAACAGGATCTGACTCAGAAATACATTGTATGCCTTTGAAATATCAACATGATCTCATCACAGGACAAGCTTCTTTAAGTCCTCATAATTCTTGCATGAGGAAATAAGCGATGTAATACTTACTCTCCCAGCACAACAAGGGGAGACTGTGTTGACTGTGTGTGTCATTTGTCTGTGGGCTGTTATTATAGAGTTTTCACATCTGGCCTATCATTCAGGGACTGAATCAATGCAATACGACTCTGTTTGTCCATTGTGAAAAGGATATGGACCATACCTGGATTCTCACCATATGCAGCCCCGTCCTTGTTGACCAGAATCTGGGTGATAGGTGGTCTGACCAGGATGTTGCCTCCAGACTTCTGGATGACAGGGATGATGTGGTAGGAGATCTCCTCCTTTAGGGTAGTATCTCTCTTGTCGTGGTGCAACAGAAGAGCATTGATCACAACACTGGAGTCCTTGGGTGGAACACCTTGAGGGGAAACAGAAAATAAATAATAAGCTAAACAACCAGCTAAATCTATGACGTTAAAATGCCTATTTACTCTGTTCCATCTGACTGCGCAATCCACTGTCTCATCAGCCCAGCCAGGCACTTTATGAACTTTATCTCCACTATAAAAAGCATCTAGACATTATCTCACATTTCTTTTAGACAAACATTAGTTTTTCAACAGGGGAGATTTGTATAAACCTTGCTGTCTGTCTCTCCAAAATTTACAACATGTTTCAATATTCAAATTTGATCTCCAGCTGTCGCATAGTAATGAGTGTGTTGGGAGTCGGGACGAGACAGACAGGCAGGCAGCTTTTCTCAGCCAGTCGAAATCATGAATCAGCATAATTTGTATGTATATATACAAAGAAATATCAATAGAAACAGGTAAAACGAAACGAAGTGCTAGTTTGCAGTCTTTCCAGCTTCAGTTTGAAGTGATTGTGTTAGCTGTGTTGTTGGCTAGCTCCTCTGTACAACAGTGTCCTGACGAGAGAGCACATTTCTACGGCAGGTGAAATTGCGCATCATTAGCTCATTGTTATGGATGTATCCAAATAAATGTAACTAGAAAACAGCTTAAACAAATGCAAATGCAGCTACTTTGTTGTTATTCTGGCTGCACTGATTGGACGTGACTGTTTGTTAGCCGTAGTTGGCTAGCTAGCAAGCAAGGGATAAAGGGATAAGAACTTTGCCAGCCAGTATTACAATGGAACATTTAGAACGAACGACTGGGTCGCGTCCATAGATACAGAACAAAAAGACTGAACGACTGGGTCGCGTCTCTGGCAACAGAACCGATATAATGAACGACCATCCGGCTTGGGAAGCAACCCAAGATTTGTGACGGGACTACAGCGCATTCGGAAAGTATTCAGACCCCTTGACTTTTTTCACATTTTGTTACGTTTACAGCCTTATTCTAAAATGGATTTTTTTTATACTCATCAAGCTACACACATTATGACAATGCAAAAAACAGGTTTTCAGAAATTTATACAAAATCTGAAATCTGAAATATCCACATTTACATAACTATTCAGACCTTTACTCAGGACTTTGTTGAAGCACCTTTGGCAGTGATTACCAGCCTTGAGTCTTCTTGGGTATGACGCTACAAACTTGGCACACCGGTATTTGGGGAGTTTCTCCCATTCTTCTGTGCAGATCCTCTCAAGCTCTGTCAGGTTGGATGGGGAGCATCGCTGCCACAGCTATTTTCAGGTATCTCCAGAGATGTTCGATCGGGTTCAAGTCCGGGGCTCTGGTGGGCCACTCAAGGACATTCACTTTTCCCAAAACCACTCCTGGTTGTTCTTTTTGG